GTTACCAAGTTAAACGTTTAAACTTTTCATTTTTTGAATTTTCAAAACCAAAACATCCAAAAATACAGTCCATTTTTTTTCATTTCACTCTCAATCAATTCTGAAAAAACCACTCTTTTCTTCCCCATTTTCCATTTTTAGCTCTACAATCTCCAAAAAAAATCAAATCTTGAATCAAATCAGTGACAGAAAAAAAACCCCATTTCAAAGATTCAATCTTCGTCTGTAAAATCTTGAAATTTTCTTGAAAAATTCGATCAGTGATTAGAAAAAACGAAACCCCATTTGTAATCTTCAATGGCTCCTACACCATCATCAAAGAATCATACAACTCCGACTCCGTCATCAAAATTGCACCAGACCCATGTAAATTCAAGAACCCCACAGTCCAAGCATCGTCTGAATTTCAACTCAGCAAAACCCTCACCAAACCCTAATTCTACAGCAATGAAAGAAGGGGGTCCACCTCCCGAGCACCCGGTAGAGGTTATTGGTAGGATTCGTGATTACCCGGATAAAAAGGAGAAACCTTTATCAGCATTGCAAGTGAATTCTGACTGTCGGTCCCTACGTGTTAGGACTGATATAGGGTATAGGGATTTTACTCTTGATGGTGTGTCGTTATCCGAAGAAGAAGATCTTGATGAGTTTTATAAGAAATTTGTTGAGTCAAGAATTGATGGGGTGAAATTAGGGGATAAATGTACTATAATGATGTATGGACCAACTGGTGCTGGTAAGAGTCATACTATGTTTGGGAGTGTTAAGCAGCCTGGAATTGTGTATAGGTCATTGAAGGATATATTGGGTGATGGAAATGAAGAAAATGATGAAAATAGTGAGAAGAAGGTTGGTGTTGGCACATTTGTTCATGTTACTGTGTTGGAGATTTATAATGAGGAGATTTATGATTTGTTATCGACGACTAATGGTGGTGGAGGATTTGCTTTTGGTTGGTCCAAGGCCTGTGCTTCCAAGGTAAAAAAATGAAGTTTTTCTTTTGGCAATTAGTTATTTGATGCACTAGTAATGTTTCATACAGAATAGTAGTAGTAGTCTCTTATCTGATATTTTGTCCATGTCTTGTTTTTCGATTGATATGTTTCTCGAGATTTTAGTACAACATGTTTAGTTCTGTATCATTGATTCTGCAATTTCACTGAATGGAACCTTGACATTATAGTTGTGATTTGTATCAAGCAAAATGCTTATAGTGCTCCAGTTTCTAAATGTGCTAGCTGATGACTTGAATTTGTAGCAGCTATTGCTAAGGCTCGTTTAAGTTTCCTGTCGAATAGCAATTTCAGTTGACTTTCGATAGCCATTAAAGATGACGTGCTTGTTGTTATTCAAGTGACATTTGCTCAATGTAATTTCAGTATTTACACATGCCATTCCGTGCATGACATGAAAGGATAACACTAGTATTGTTCGGTAGAGATTATGTCAGTGAGAACCTACATGAGGTTATAGAAGGATAAGTATCTGTACACCAAATCTCAATGATCCATTCAGTATATGATTATGGAAGGATGAGTATTTTTCAGTAGAGAAAATCGGATCTTCTTTATCATAAAATTGTTGATCTTCATGGCTAACATATATTAATAGTTAGAAATTAGTACCTTTTTAAGTCTATTAAAAGATGACTGTGCTTTACTGATTTTTATGTGTCTGTACAATGTTGGTTCTGTCTTTTACCTTGCAGGTGAAGCTGGAAGTTATAGGTAAAAAGGCCAAAAATGCAACTTTTATTTCAGGGACTGAAGCTATAAAGATATCGAAAGAGATCCAAAAAGTAGAGAAGAGAAGAATAGTAAAGAGTACTCTGTGTAACGAGAGGAGCTCTCGGAGCCACTGCATGGTAAATGTTTAATCACTTTTTCATGGAAATAAGTTCATTCAATTTCTAGTTTCAGCAATGCATATTTGTCTTCAATTGCAGATAATCCTTGACGTTCCAACAGTGGGAGGGCGACTAATGCTTGTGGATATGGCCGGTTCTGAGAATATTGAACAAGCTGGTCAAACTGGTTTGGAAGCAAAAATGCAGGTATAAGTTCTGGATTCACTTGGCTCACTTGTATTAAGTTTATCTGATTTCCTTTTGAAGTAACTCAAATGTATGACCATCTATATGATATAATTGTGTCTTACTGTGGTACCTTGATGATTAAATCTTGCAGACTGCGAAAATCAACCAGGGAAACATTGCATTGAAGAGGGTTGTTGAGTCCATTGCTAATGGTGACTCTCATGTGCCATTTCGTGATAGCAAGTTAACCATGCTATTACAGGTAAGTTTTGCATATGCTGGTGATCTATGTTGCTTTGGACTCTTTCATAAATGTCAATGGGTGCATGTCGGGTTCTCCAAAAGTGATGTATTTTTGGAGAATCCGCCATTGCTAATGGTGATTCTCATGTGCCATTTCGTGATAGCAAGTTAACCATGCTATTACAGGTAAGTTTTGCATATGCTGTTGATCTATGATGCTTTGGACTCTTCATAAATGTCAATGGGTGCATGTCGGGTTCTCCAAAAGTGATGTATTTTTGGAGAATCCGAGCGGGTGTGGCATCAAAAGTGAAGAGTCCGCGCAACTTAGCTGGTTATAGTATGGCAGATTGCTTTGGAAGTGTTCATTGACTGTGATAGTTGTTTCAACTGTTTTGTTTAGGACTCTTTTGAGGATGACAAGTCCAAAATTCTTATGATACTATGTGCAAGTCCAGATCCTAAAGAGCTCCACAAGACTATCTCCACTCTGGAATATGGTGCCAAAGCAAAGTGCATTGTCCGTGGTCCTCATACGCCATTGAAGGAGAAAGGTACAGAGGATTCTTCATCGACAGTTATCTTGGGATCAAGGATTGCCGTTATGGATCAGTTCATCTACAAGCTTCAGATGGAGAACAAGCTGAAAGAGAAAGAGCGTAATGAAGCTCAGAAAGAGCTTATGAAGAAAGAAGAAGAAATGGCTACACTAAGGGCCAAACTGGAGTTAGTACAAGGAAAGGGAATGGAGATAACCGAGGAGCAGATCAATCTTAAAGTAAACGAGCGAACTCAGATGTTGAAGAGTGAGTTGGAAAAGAAGATACAAGAATGTCAGAAAATGGCAAATGAAATTGTTGAAATGGAGAGGAGGAAGATGGAAGAAAGAATGTTCCAGCAGCAACAAGAATTTGAAATGCTCCGGAGGCGCTTGGAGGATATGGAAGCTGAGCTTTACCGCTCTAGGGCTGAAAGTGGATCAATGGAGGAAAATACTTTCGCGAAAAGGCTGCAGGAGATTTACTCCGAAGATGCAGGAATGGTAAAGTCTATGGATTTAGACAGATCAATTGATATGGACGTGGGAAAGCGGGATGTACTGGTCTATAAACCTGAAGGCAATACTTTCCAAGCAATCTCGGGTTATCCTAACATAAGCAATTTAGGAGAAGTTGAAGATCCACTTTTCACCAATAAAAGTAGCTTGAGCACTGTATTTGAAGAGGAGGAAGAAGGTGATGATGAAGGAGATACAGAGAATCCCCCTGTCGATGAGGAGGTGCAGAAGGAGGTCATTGAGGAAAAAACAATATGTTCTGGTCTGCTTGATCATGATATGAGTTGTTTGAGACCAGATCCTGATCATTTCAGTGATTTATGCAAGGACAATGATGTTTGTATGGGTGCAGCCCCTTCTAGGCAAGCGCTTATTCAGAACATTTTCACACTCTGTGGCAATTATAGAGAGCTTTCTCAGCATAGTGTAAGCCCAGTGCCTGCACAGAAGAATTTGGAAGATACTGATTCTTCAGTACCAACAGTTAAGACAATCAGAGAGGATTATGCATCTGTGCTTGCTGCAGAAGGTTTGTCCAATGATCTTTTGCCATTATGTAATCCCGAGACCATAAAAAAGTCACCAGTTAATCAGACAAGAATGTTTAAGAGCTCTTATGATAAAGAAAATGATTCAAAGGAGAACTTTAATCCTACTTCTGGCAATCTCGAAGTCCATGTGAAATGGGAAGCTTCATCAAAAGAGAATCCTGGTGTAGCAACCACGGTAAAGGTTGGCAAAGATTCATCCTTAGCTGATCTGCGCAAACTGATTGAGATACACCTCGGTGCTGACAGTTCATTCACTTTCCTTGCAATAGGGGTATGTTTATACTTAACTGGCTTTAGAAAAATGTTTATACTCACTTCATATTGTTATGACAGTTATTTGATATGAAACTGTTAATTTTTCTGTAATTAGGATCCATCTGGTGCCCCGATGGCTAAAGAACAGGAGGTAGTCACACCAGTGAGTAAGCTTCCAAAATGCAACAACTTCTCACGTGGTCACTTAGCTTACTTACGCCCAGTGAAGGGAACACAACGGTCCAATCACTTGCCATTTACCTCACTGGAAAATATGCTTCCATTGACTCCAAAGTCAAATATCAAAGAAGTAGGTACTGGATTTTCTCCCAAAGTAGGAGAACATCTGAGTAGAACACCTTTTGTAACTGTCAAACGATATCTAAATGAGTGTTAGTTGATATGCGCGTATGAGTTTGTGTGAATCATGTATGTAATCACGCGACCATTATGATATTTTTTGCTCTTGAGTACATCGCATATGTACTCATATTGGATGATTGATTTACTTTGTCTGATGTGTTTTCAAATACTTGGGGATTTCATGTCTTGATTCATACCTCTCTTCTTTTAATTTCTTTCTGGTGGCACTCCAAGAGGAGAGGGGAAATGGAGAAAGGAAGAACCATAGAGGACTTGGGTGGCTAAAATCCTAACAACTAATGACTCGAGGTTCATGTACTCGACTTAGAGATCATTGAGATAGCTGATTTTGAAGGCACATTAAACTTGTGCAAACTTCAAGAGAGCATAATGAGTCCAGTGATGTGGATGATGTCGTTCTAAACTTGACGTGTAGGTAAAACTATGTTGAACTTGTGAGGAATATGATGAATATATCGATAGATAAATCTCAATTTTACAACTAGCATTCCATAAACTGAGATCATACGCGTTCTTTCCTTAAATTTGAGTGGGATGAAATGAAAATAAAAGCAACAGATCTGGTAAACTTTTTGGAGAAAAATAACAATGCTGATACTGGAGAAGTTGATCATGAAGCCTTCATACTGTCCAAGCCAACACTAGTCTGCAACGAAAAACCATGCATCATTGACAAACTTAAGACAACCTTACTCTTATCGAAAACTTGAAAAGAGTATATAAATGTCATACCAAAAATTTGTGGATCTGCTGAAGTATAGGTGAAAACGTCGTACAGAACTTCTCCATATCACTGTTGATGTCACCATTGCCACTTATGACCTCCATGAACTTTTTCCTATCTGGTGCAAGCTTTATCGCAACCTTTGTATCACATTTAGAAACACGTTAACACGTTTTACAGGTAGAGAAGATTGATTAAATGTTCTCACATGGCATTTGAATTGCTGGTGTTAAGGTCATTATTAGACTGAAAACACAGTGAAGTACATACCGTAAAGCTTGAACTAGCAAGCCATCCGTGCCATTTCTTCAACGTCTTGGAGTAAGAATCATTGCAAGCTTGGGACATTGACCAATCTTGATGCTGAGCTAAATTGTGAAAGAGCACCACTATGAAGTCCATGGCTCTGCAGCATTAGCAGAATCATCGATTAGTCTGATTTATCTTAACACGTTATGGTAGCAAAGTTCGTTCATCAAATAAACAAATGCAAGCTTGTTATGCACCAAAGCTTAGAAGGGCAACCCTGTGCACAAAACATGCAAGGTCCGGGAAAGGGCATGTGTGATGTAGGCAATCACAAGGAGACAACTTTATCTTTCTGTTATAAACCATAGATTAGTTTTTTGAAATGAGAACATGGAAGAACAATCGCGCACCTTGTTAACCATAGAAGACCATTAGTACAACTGGATGAAGATTTAGCTGTCTTTATCTCAACTTCTGCCTGTACAAAACTGTACAAGTAGTTGAATCTCGATGGGTTATCGTTATACTTGGATTCTAACCTCTGTAAGGAAACAAGCATTCCATAATTCACCATTAGAACCAACATAAGATATTTATGTTTCATGTGTTGTTCAATATAAGGTTTCTCCAACATTTTAAGTGCAAATTGATGACAGTTGAACCACTAGATCAATATTACTACTCAAGATGATTGTCGTAATAAGTAAACATCGATGAACATTGCATTTTTGTCTATTACATGAGCTCTACAACCACAAATAACTCCAACTTACTCTGCTACACATGAAATCTGCATCACAATTCGCGAGATTTTTGTAATATTCAAACAGAAGAAATGACTAACTCACAGCTATATTTCCGCTGATATCAGATTTAACCACAGTCATTGCAGCTCCAAATTTATCTGGCATCAGTATAGCAAATGAACTCGATTCATTACACAACTTAAAACAACACAAATACAACTATATACAACAATAACATACACAATGTAATGCATAAATGAGGTCTGAGGAGGATAGAGTGTATGCAGACCTTACCCCTAACTCGTAGAGATAGAGAGGTTGTTTCTGATAGACGACTCAATGAATATAATCGATAGCATTACATCAATTTTCGAGTAAAATTCAAGACGATTATAGAGAAAAGTGTGAACCTAGAATTGGCAATACAAGTTTGCAAACTTCCAAGAAAGGCTTAGTCATTAGTTCTCCATGTTCAGATTTGACATCCTTCATTCCTTCCAAAGCAGGGGAAAATAATGTTCCCTCCATATTTGCCTATTTTGCTGCACATAACACATAAATTTTACTAATTAAAAAAAAGGTAGCAAGTTAGATTGCAAAATTATGTCCGTTCGAACTTTTCAAAAATGTTGTTGTACTCGTATCGGATCCTCCATAAATACACTATTTTTGGATGATCCGACACACACTTGTCTACATTTTTTTGAAGAGATTGAGCTACATAGATTGCAAAATTATGTCAGGCTATGTTGTTCAGACTCTCTAAAAATATTGTTGTACTCGTATTTGTTCCTCTATAAATACACTATTTTTAGATGATCCGACACACACCTGTCTACCTATCTTACCTTTTTTTTTTGAAGAGATTGAGCAACATAGGAGAATTGCTTGTCCCAAAAGCCATGACATTTTTATTTTTCCAAGAATATATCCTAATTTTGTCCCTTTTTTTTTCTTTCTGATAATCGATTCAACCTCAACAAGTTCAGTAATGAGCATAACGTTCCTATGATTAACTTAAAGGTAAATTTCCAAACTAATAATTTCAACGAGATCTCTCAATTTTTATCCTAGTTAATCCTGATTCGATATTAAAAGAATATAATAACTCTTCGCCAATAAAACAAAAATAGGAGAAAAAAAAACAAATCTGATTATTAGAAAAATAATAGAAAAAGAACCTGGAGAACAATAAGATTTGCAGGTCAGATGATTTTTGTGTGTATTTTTTTTCAGTTACATATATTTTTTTTATGAGAAATGAAATATAATAATTTTTTTTTTTTTAGAATTAATTGTTAGTGCATTTGTGAGAGATGCAAAAATTAAGAGAAGAGAGAAGGGAGTTTAACGGTATTTCAAATTAGCCTCTGCTTTTACGATATGTGCGGAAATTAAAGGGTTATTTTCCTCTTTGGTATTATTTATTTTAAGCTCAATTTTGATTCTCCATATTTATTTATTTTCGTTAACATTAGCTCGGATAATCAGTTTTGGGAACAATTATTAATATTCAAGCCAATGTTTAAAAATGTAATGGTGAAATACTCACTTTTTAAGACGGAAATACGACTCCTTCATATATAGGTGATTGAATTATTTTGGTCCTTTATATATATCATCTTATCCAAATAGTCCTTAATGTATATATAAAGAGTATCATTTTGGTCCTAATCCTTAAAACTAACTGGAAACATAAAAATAACTGTTAAATTTAATTGTGGATCCCACACTCTTCTTCCTCCCTCTTTCTTCTGCCATTGCTTCTCCTTCATCTTCTTTCTTTTTGCCATTTCTTCTACGATTTCTGCTCCCAAAATCTCCTTATACACACAAAAGTTTCTTCAAATTTCAAAGAATATTCGTAAGGTTTTTGTTTTCTATCTATGCCCGTTAAAATTTTACCATTTAATTTTTAAAATAGAATTAAAAAAATGACTTGAAAAAATTACTAATTTTGAAAAGGAAAAAATGAAAAGAAAGCTATAATCCTCCTCATAGATCGCTTCAACAAGAGAGAATAAATGGAGTCTTTTATTTGATTTACTTAGTTTACATTTGTTTTAGTGATCTTGGTTTTTTTCTTCTTCTTTATGTATGATAATGGAAGCTTCTGAAAATTTTGTTTCAATGAAGATAAAAAATGGGTGAGGTGTGTAGTATTTTTCTTATGAGGATAAGCAGGAGAGAAAATGGCGAAAGAAAGAAGCTGAGAGATGGGTCTGCTCTGGTAATGGTGAAAGAAAGTAGATTTTTTTATTTTTTTGGTTAGTTTTAGGGGTAAGGATTAAAATAATCCTGTTTTCATATACATTAAGGACTATTTAGATAAAATGATATATATAAAGGACTAAAATAATTCAATCCCTATACATGAAGGACCATTTTGATCATTTTCTCACGAAAATACTATCTGAATAAAAATATTCTTAGCTAAAATACAAATGACGTGTGCTGGAGTTCAGAGAGTGATAAGTGGAACTCCAATATAATTTGCTAGTTAATTATCCATCAAAATAGATTTAATTGAACCTCTTGCCTCCAAATAAAGTGAAATATCTTTCTAGTTAATTATTTCTTACTCATATCAACAGTCACATATTCGAATAAGAAAAATAAAAGAGGAGGATCACAATAAGCTAATAATTTGCATATGATAAACCCTCCCTATATAAAATATCACAACATAAACAACATGATTCGATCAATTTAATCGATTTTAACTTGCTTGAAATTAGAGCATATATATAATAAGTTGTATATATTTTTTTATTTCTAGTATCACCAAAATGATCCACCAAATAAAAAACTTCTCATCATGATACACACTTGGTAAAAAAACAAACAATAATAATAATTGTTATTGAGATCGACTATATGAATTCTCGCTTCGTTTTGGGCTCAGGATATTTGATAGAGTTCTTGAGAATCTTTTTAGCAGCAGCATCACCAAGATCAATGCCACAAATATCAGCCAATCTAATGAGATAAAGCAAAACATCAGATAACTCTTCACCAAGATGCTCTTTATCTGATTCTTCCCAATTTGGTAACCCTTTATCCACTTCTCCTCTCCATTGGAATATTTCTGATAACTCCCCTACTTCACCTACCTGAATTTTCAATTGGACAACAAAAAAAAAAAAATTATATGATTTCGATCGTTATGATATTTGATTAAGCATATTTAATCTCCAAGTTTACGTCTTTAATCCCTTAATGTATATTTGTTTGATCAATAATTGTGGTGTTCGAATCAGCTTGAGTGTATCTTGACTAATCACATAGGGTATGTGCAATCTTCCACAAATACATGGGTAACTATGTCCACTAAAGATTGGAGAAACATGAAAAAATCAAATAGTGTTTTGGCCTATGTTGAGGTTAGAACCTGAAACTCCATACTCAACTCATTTTATTGACCCCTAAACCATACTCTGGAGGCAAAAATATACGCATCCAGAGGAACAAGGGATTATAAAATATGTTATAGGTAAACTATCTTTAGAAATTATATTTACTCTATGGAATAATAATACAAATTTAACATTAACTCGCGGGTACTAATCAAATGGTGAAAGGGTTAACAAATATGATAATTATGAATATTTACAATTAAATGGATTCAAAATGCATTTTTTTTCTCTTTCATGAATCTTTGAACAAGTGGAGAGATGCTTTTTCTTGTGTGCCAAATATTGCCAAGCAGTACATGCCAAGGACAATAGGGAATCAAGAAACATTGTGTGATTGTCCAGTGGTACCAACTACCATTTTTCATACACATGTTATGTGGCTGTCTCATCACCTAGTGTGTGTCTAGTAAGTTCCTTTTTGATATTTGATGGAAAAATGTTCGATAAACATTTTCTCTAGAAAAATAAATTTATTAAAAATTTTCGAAGAAAAAACAATAAATTCATAAAAGTATTATATGTTCAATTTTAAGAAACTCAAAGAAAGAATACATCATGAAACTTGAATCCGCTTCTGAATGACAATAGAAACTCACAAATAACCATTTTTCAACCCTTGAAATTGAAAAACAATCACCGTCATATAGTACAAATTCCAAAAGTGAAACTCCAAGACATGACTATTAGAAAGGTTTCACCTGTGAAATTTAAAACTCTATAACAATGACTATTTTTCTAATATATCACCTAAAAGTAGTCGGTAAACGCTATATTTATTCATCTGAAGGCAAAAAGGTAGAAAATTGATAGATAGTAAAAGAATTAATTACCATGGCAAGTAGCAAATTCCTAGGGCTATGATACTTCTCCCAATTTCTAACCTTAGCAAAATCTTCAAGTTGCTTAGAGAGGTCTTTAAGACTAATATCCATTGATCTCTCTTGATCTCTTTCTTGTTCCATATTGGCTAAGTAAATATGAGATTTGTTGCTTGCAAAGATACCAAAGGCTCTTGTCTTGGATTTTAAAGGAGAAAATTTCTTGACATGTGAAAAAGGAGGAATATTATAACCATAAAAGTGAACTAATGATAACATAGTAATAATTCTTAGAAGAAGAAGACGCTTCAAGGGGGGCAAAATTCTTTGAGCATACTACCCTCAAATATTGGTTTTTTTTTAATAGTGCAATGATTCTTTGTTCTATCTCATCTATGAAAAGAATATTATATTCCAATTTTTTTAGTACTTTTTTTTTTCTTTGTGAAAGGACATTGCAAATTGAGCCATGACACATCTTTTTGTGCAAATTGAGCATGCTTTGAATTTTAAAACACTTCTTTTTTTCTATCTTCATTGCACACCATTAGATGGTTTAGAACTTTATTAGATTTATATAATATTGTTAAGCAGAGACAGAGCTGAAATTTAGAATACTTTATGAGTTCGTGAGTCTTAAGAAAATAGTTAATTGGATTCTTAATAAGTTATTTATTACGTATATTGAATGAAATTTTAATTGTAAATATAGAATTAGAGTCAAAATTATTAAGTTTTGTCGAATCAGTAGGTGGAACTCTGGCTCTACGTCTTATATAATGGATAGAGAGAAGCCTAACCAGTGAGTTAGTCTAGTGTTTTAAACCATTCATTTATTGATTTTTAGTCTTTTCAACTCTTAATTGATTAGTCTTTTCACTTTAAATAATAAGGAAAATACAAAAATTGGCCAAACCAATTATTGTCTTTTGAACAAGTTTCAAAGAAACAAAATAATTAAAATAATAATAATAATAATAATAATAATAAAAAAAATTAATAAAAAAATAATAATAATAAAAAAAATAAAATGGACAAACCAAAAAAGGTCCTACCGGGAGTCGAACCCAGGTCGCTGGATTCAAAGTCCAGAGTGCTAACCACTACACCATAGAACCTTAGATGCTTAACAAACTTGCGAAAAATATTTACATCAATTTAAAATCATACTAAATTTTCATTTTTGAGTTTTATTTTAATTATATTTTAATGATACGAGGATCTATTCGAGATGATGTATCTATTTTTGTGAGATAAGAATAAAATTTACGTATTTTTTATTTTTCTTTTCAGATTTTACTTATGAGACTATACTAAATATGTTGTTATTGGGGGTAAATACACCTTTGGCTGTCTTTGTTTATGGAATACCAAAAACATGATCATTTTTAAATTGGAATATTTTAATCTTATCTAAGCATATCACTTCAATTTTGACATTCTTCTTATCAACCGAAAGAAAAAGATAATAATGCAGTAAAAAATTCTTTAAGATTTCTCAATTATTCCTTGCATTTTATAATTCCCTTAGATAACATTGAAAATAGCATTTATCAACCGAAAGAAAAAGATAATAATGCAGTAAAAAAATTCTTTAAGATTTCTCAATTATTCCTTGCATTTTATAATTCCCTTAGATAACATTGAAAATAACATTTATTTACTAAAATAGAAAAAAGAACATTTAGATTTTTACAATGGAATTGTTCCTTTTGCTTATTTTATAGCAGTATATGTTAAGTGCTGGCTGAATCTACATTCCATCATAATCAATGTAATATACTAATTGCTATAGCACCTAGATAGAATATATCTTTTTGTGAGTTTATGATATATAATTTTATATATATATAGCAATTTTATTTTTAATTTAGAGAGGTTTTGTGGACCTATTCGTCCAATGCCTAAGCGTACATCTTACATCTCGTAATACTACTGCACCCAACCTGAAACTCACTCCGTAAATACTTTTTAAAATATTTATTTTTATAAAATGGAATTCAGGATGTCCTTCTTTCAAATTTTGTAAAGATGATCGGTCTTAAACAAATCAAATGAAGTCAGTAGAGAAAAAAAAAACAATAAATATAAAAGAGTCAATATAATAAAATATAAATGAGACGCATATCACGAATTCAAACCTTATCACATAGCTCAAATGTCTATTGTCAAAAGCATTCATACTACACCATATTCTCATCACAAAACACTTAACAAAGTATTAAGTAACAAAAACAACATATAAACTTCACTAATTATTATTGGGAAATAATTCAAATTAAATGTTATAGTCATAGTTTCTTTTATTTGTAATTCGCAGCAAACATTCCATGTTTTTTGCCATCCCATTTGTGTACCAAAATATACAAATGCAGGACCCATTTGTATACCAAATGCAAATGCAAGACCCATTTGTAGACCGAAATATACAAATACAGGACCCACCGAAATATACAAATGCATGACCCATTTGTATACCGAAATATACAAATGCAGGACCCATTTGTCTACCGAAATATACAAATAGACCCAAATACATATTTTTATGTATATGTATACCGAAATATACAGATTAATAGCTATAGCAAACATAAAGTTTGCTATGGAGCACAATTATACAAATTATAGTTATAGCATACAAATATGATTTTTATATTTGTTAAACCTAAAATTTACTCATTATTATTCCCCTCCCCATTACATTAATTTAATTAAGACCATTTGAATTGCAAAACTTGTTTGCCTTGAATTTTGAGATACAATCCATCCTTCTTTGCATGCCATTGACATATATTATTTGCACATCTTTTAGAATCTCTATTATTAACAAATAAAACAAATGTTTCATGTACTCCTTTTGATGTTTGAGCAGTCAAAGCACATGAAGCAATTGCTTTTTGTTTTGGATCACTAAAATTTACTGGAAATGAACTTTTTGTTCCTTTTGGAATTGGTAATGTTCCATCATCAAATCCCATAATATTATACAATGAGCTCCTAAATTAGCTCCTAATTCATTGTGGATTAATACAATAAATTGTACACAATGAACTAAAGAGCATGAATAATATAAAGTCTAAATAAGAGAAATAATTGGCAAATTGTATTGTGAAGACTTCATTTTTATGTGGTTTATATGAGTGAAGTGTTAGTCTTTATATAGTTTTATGATATAATTTTTTATGGGAACAAATTAAACTCTAGAGTAATCATGCTAATATGTAATTATATAGTAATATTTTTCTTTAAATTAATATTACTAATTATGAAAAAGATTAGGATATGATTCATGTACCTCAGTCAACTATATATTATTATGGGCAAAAATTTGATAAATGTTATTTAAGATTATTCCTCCTATTTATCTTTTTAGTTTTAACTTGTCAATCTCTTTATAGTTATTTTCAATTATTCAAGGAAAATGTTTTAAATCACTTTAGTCTCTGGAATATTGATAAATGGTGGTTCTTGTAATTTTTGTCAAATATATTTAATTTTAGTTAACAGATATATGTACTTTTGATTCATTTGATTGTGATTTTTTATAAATTTAATGAATTACTAAGTGTTAAGGCGTCTGGTCAATGTGTTGTGTTAAATTTTAATGTTATTTTGTTTTTGGGAATTGGATAATATGCAAATATAATTATGCTCTATTTAATTTCTAATCATACAAAGATTTTCTTGCTCAACTATTATGGCAAAGGGATATTGGAGTAAATGTTAAAGATTCTCGTCATTTTCACCTCCTCGTTGTTCTTAATAACGTTCAAGTTTGATCGATGTATCTTTTGTTATGTTGATTTCATTTATATAATATTTAGTTAAAGTCGAATGACTTTTTAGTTATAAAAAATCTTGTTTAGTGACTTCTTGTGATCATTTGGCAAAGTTGAATGATTTTTTGCTATAAAAAATAGTTTAATTTTGTTATATTTTAACAAAATTGAATGATTTTTATATTTTAAAAAAATAATATAGTAACTTTACTGTAATAAAATAAAAGTTAAGTAATCATATATGAAATTAATTTTTTTCCAACTTATAATTAATAATAATATGTCAATCTCTCTTTACAACAATTCCTTTATTATATGAGATATTATATGTCAGCGCACAAATATTTATTTTTAAAGTTCTTTTTTGGCAGTACCAATTAGTGGTGTTCATGGTTCGCAGTCGATTTTTTGGTTAAATCAAAAACAAATTACTTTAATCAATTTTAATTATAATACATTTTTATTGGTCTGATTCAATTCAATCTTAAAGAAATCTAATAATACAAAATTATATAACACATATTTATCTTTCTCATTTTCACTATATTTGAAAAATATTTTTTCATTCTTTGATCAGGTATAACCCCTTCCTCCATTTTCTCTTCCGCTACGCCCAATTAATTTTTTTTAAACAATCATTTACTAATCTTTCATTATGCTTGCTATAATTTTGGATTGTGAAAAAACATCTTGAGATCAATTGAATTTAATTAGGTTAATAAAATTTATAAAAAATATATTTTTTAAAAATCTTAGATATGAACCTTGCAGTTATAATTTTACATAAACTAATTTCGATTCATTTAAAAAAGAAAAGAAAAAAAGAAATGGGCTTAAGGATACGTGTATTACAGATAAAATTAATGGTATAAATAAAAGTTTGCTGAAAATTTATACAAAATATTAAAATATGTTGCATATAATTTATCAGTTTGATTTAATATCTTTTCTTCCATTTGTTTTTATTAAAATCAAACCAAATCAAATATTATTTATTTTTACAAATTTAAAATAAACCCAAAACTAATATTGATCTATTCAATTGAATTGATTCCATTTTGAAGTTGCATCAAATTTTTTTATCAAACTATAATAAAACACCTTAGCCATTTTCATCTATTAATCAATTCTCTATTGTTATAAAACAGAAGAAAATTATCATTTAATTCCTAGTGGATTAAAAATTAAGTCACAAATTGCATTAGCGTTGGTGAATCTTAAACAAGTCGGATAAAGTTAGTAAACGGTAAGAAATATATATATTTCTTGTTAACGGTATTTTGATTGAATGATAAAAGCGCATTACAAAAATGTATATCATAAATTCAAACCTTATTACATAACTCAAAAAATTGTTATTTAAATATAGAATTGTAAAAAGTACGAACCCATTAACTAATAAAAAATAATAAATAAATATATATATATATATACTTTCAAACGATCATTAAACTATCGCCACTCCATCATATTTTTTTATCACAAAACATTGACAAACTAGTATGTATACTTCATTAATCATAAT